TAGAGGAGGTTCGGACGGTTCGGTGGTGTGAATTTAGGTTAATTTGGGACAACTGAGTCATGGCCGGAAAACTTTAAACCGTTATTCGAAGGGTTCAACGTTGATTCGAGGGAACGGGTTTGGGGAATTAGGTAGAGGGGACTCAGATGAACCTAGGGTGTTAATTTGGGACTATTTGGCATACTTTGGGTCTTGGCCGGAGAATCTGTGATCTAATATTTGACGCTTTTGGCCGGGATTTGAAGGAGATCATTTGCATATTTGGAAAGAGGTGAAAAGCGGAAGCTGGGGTGTTATTTTGGTGAAGTTTGGAGATTTTCCGCCGCCGTGGGCGATTTCCGGCGGCGGAACACGGCGGGGGAACGGTGGAGGCGTGGTGGGGAAGGGCGGCGTTACAGGGAGTGGTTGTACGAGGAGGGAGAGAAATGTTTAGGGTTTTGAGTTAATTTTCGGACAGTTTTATTGAATGGTTTGGGTTGATGAGGGCCGTAGGATCTTGGGGAATGGGTGGCCAGGATGGACTGACGCCAAACGGCGTCGTTTTAGCTCTGCCTGCCCGGACCGGACCAAGACGTTTGGGCTGGGAAATGGTTTTTTGGAAAGGGTCTTGGGCTGGGGCTGGCACGGAAATGGCCCAGTTCGGTCCTCTTATTAAGACATCTCTCTTTTCTCTCTCTTTTTTTTTTAGTTTTAATTTCTTTTGTTTTCTCCCTTTTTATTTCTTTTATTTATTTTGTATTTCATTTTGTATTTTTCCTGATTTTATAAAAATGCAAAAAATTAAAATGAAACCTAATTTATTTCCAAAATTAAGCTAATTGATGCCTAAAATTGTTTAAAACCTATTTCGTGACAATTTCAACAATTAACAATTAAAAATGCAAAAGCGGACTATTTTTGTTATTTTCTTTATATTTTGTTCTAAAAACAATGTAACTACTAAATAATCCTAAAATATGAAATTAGATCCTAAATGCAAGTGCCAAGTGTATTTTTAATATTTTTATATGAATTAAAATGCACAAGTAAAAATGCAAACAATTAGCAGAAAATAACACAAAATTCACAAAATTGTAAAATAATGAAAGAAAAATCCTTTTGTTTGAATCTTTGGGAGTCATTCACTTAGGGTAAAAATCACGTGCTCACAATGTCAGCTCAGGAAACATACCCGAGCCTCCTATCCTCGTAGTATTGAGAGTCACGCAGAGTCTATTTTTTCTTTAGTTCACTCTGATATATGGGGTCCTAGTAGAGTCAGTTCAACCTTGGGATTTCGTTATTTTGTTAGTTTTATTGATGATCATTCAAGATGTACTTGGATTTTCTTAATGAAAGATCGTTCTGAGTTGTTTTCTATATTCCAGAATTTTTGTGCTGAAATTAAAAATCAATTTGGTGTTTCCATTCGCACTTTTCGCAGTGATAATGCCTTAGAATATTTATCCTCTCAATTTCAGTAGTTTATGACTTCTCAAGAAATTATTCATCAGACCTCTTGTCCTTATACCCCTCAGCAAAATGGGGTTGCAGAGAGAAAGAATAGGCACATCATTGAAACTGCTCGCACACTTCTCATTGAATCTCATGTTCCGCTGCGTTTTTGGGGCGATGCAGTTCTCACAGCTTGTTATTTAGTTAATCGGATGCCTTCCTCTCCCATCCAGAATCAGATACCGTATGCAGTATTGTGTCCCCAATCACCCGTATACTCTGTTCCCCCTCGTGTTTTTGGGAGCACTTGTTTCGTTCATAACCTAGCCCCTGGGAAAGATAAGTTAGCTCCTCGTGCTCTCAAGTGTGTCTTCCTTGGTTATTCTCGTGTTCAGAAGGGATATCGTTGTTACTCACTTGATCTTCGTAGGTACTTTATGTCCTCTGACGTCATATTTTTTGAGTCTAAACCTTTCTTTACCTCTTCTGACCTTTCTGACCCCCTTGATATATCTGAGGTCTTACCTATACCGACCTTTAAGGAGTCTACTATAGCTCCTCCTTCACCTTCCGCCATAGAAGTCTTACCCGAGTCTCCTATAGCTCCTCCTTCACCTTCCGCTATAGAAGTCTTATCCATTCCAGCCGTTGAGGAGTCTAGTGTGGCTCCTCCTAGACTCCCTGCCACAGGAACACCACTTTTGACATATCATCGTCGTCCGCGCCCAGCATCAGGTTCCAGCTGATTCACGTCCTGCACCTGACCCTGCTAATACTGCGGACTTGTCTCCTCTTAATCAACCGATTGCACTTCGGAAAGGTATACGGGCCACCCTTAATCCTAATCCCCATTATGTCGGTTTGAGTTATCATCGTTTGTCATCACCCTATTATGCTTTTCTATCTTCTTTGTCATCTATTTCCATCCCTAAGTCTACAGGTGAAGCATTTTCTCATCCAGGATGGCGACAGGCTATGATTGACGAGATGTCTGCTTTACATACGAGTGGTACTTGGGAGCTCGTCCCTCTTCCTTCAGGTAAATCTACTGTTGGTTGTCGTTGGGTGTATGCAGTCAAGGTTGGTCCGGATGGTAAGGTTGATCGTCTTAAGGCTCGTCTTGTTGCCAAAGGATATACTTAGATATTTGGGCTCGATTACAGTGATACCTTCTCTCCTGTGGCTAAGATAGCATCAGTCTGCCTTTTTCTATCCATGGCTGCTGTTCGCCATTGGCCCCTCTATCAGCTGGACATTAAGAATGCTTTTTTACACGGTGACCTTGAGGATGAAGTTTATATGGAGCAACCACCTGGGTTTGTTGCTCAGGGGGAGTCTCGTGGCCTTATATGTCGCTTGCGTCGGTCACTTTATGGTCTAAAGCAGTCTCCTCGAGCCTGGTTTGGTAAGTTCAGCACAGTTATTCGAGAATTTGGCATGATTCAGAGTGAAGCTGATCACTCTGTATTCTATCGGCATTCTGCCTCGAGTCTCTGTATTTATCTGGTGGTCTATGTTGACGACATTGTTATTACCGGCAATGACCAGGATGGTATTACTAAATTGAAGCAACATCTCTTGCAACACTTTCAGACTAAGGATCTGGGCAAACTAAAGTATTTTCTGGGTATTGAGGTCGCTCAGTCTAGCTCAGGTGTTGTGATCTCACAACGAAAGTATGCCTTAGATATTCTTGAAGAGACAGGAATGACAGGTTGTAGACCGGTTGACACTCCGATGGATCCGAATTCTAAACTTATGCCAGGACAGGGGGAGCCTCTTAGCGATCCTGCAAGATATAGACGGTTGGTTGGCAAATTAAATTACCTTACAGTGACAAGACCTGACATTTCCTTTTCTGTGAGTGTTGTGAGTCAGTTTATGGATTCTCCGTGTGATAGTCATTGGGATGCAGTTGTTCGCATTCTTCGGTATATAAAATCAGCTCCAGGCAAAGGTTTATTGTTTGAGGGTCGAGGCCATGAGCAGATCGTTAGATACTCAGATGATGATTGGGCAGGATCACCTTCTGATAGACGCTCTACGTCTGGATATTGTGTCTTGGTAGGAGGAAATTTGGTGTCCTGGAAGAGCAAGAAACAGAATATGGTTGCTCGGTCTAGTGCAGAAGCAGAATATCGAGCGATGGCTATGGCGACATGTGAGCTAATTTGGATCAAACAGTTGCTCAAGGAGTTGAAATTTGGTGAGATTAGTCAGATGGGACTTGTGTGTGATAATCAAGCTGCTCTTCATATTGCGTCAAATCCAGTGTTCCATGAGAGAACTAAACACATTGAGATTGACTGTCACTTTGTTAGAGAAAAGATACTCTCGGGAGATATTGCTACAAAGTTTGTGAAGTCGAATGATCGGCTTGCAGATATTTTCACCAAGTCCCTCACTGGTCCTCGTATTAACTACATATGTAACAAGCTCGGTACATATGATTTATATGCACCAGCTTGAGGGGGAGTGTTAGAATAGTCATGTAAATAGGAGTAAATAAATAACCCTAATCCAATATATATTAGGAGTAGGACATGTTATGTGTGTGTATATATATAGGGCTCATTGTAACGTATGTCAATACATCAATAATATATTTTCTCCCGTGCATTCTCACATCGGCATTGACAATTCTGGTAGTGTTTCCATCTTTCGTCATTGGAAAGAAGAAGAAGTGAAAGAAAAAAAAATATTGGATCGTGCTCGTTAGAGTTGTATAGGCTCTGATACCATATAAACACTCAAGAATATGATGGAAAACTGTATGTGTATTGAATGCCAAGCTCAGTTTAAATACAAGTCTTCGTAAGAGTACTCCTTGAATTAGGAGACTTATTCAAATCAAAACACTATCTAAAGCTAACTAACTGAATGATAAGTTTGAACTAAAAGGATAACTCTAAATCTATATCTAATCTAAGGATAAGCATGAAAGCTAATAACTAATCCAAAACAACTAGGTACAACTGTTGTTCCAATAGGCACAAGGTATCCCATGTTCGTTCAAGGTCCGGGGAATGACTGCTTCCATGGCTCGAACCCATGACTTATAGTTCACATGGAGACAACTTTACCATTGCTCCAAGGTTCCCTTAAAAAAGATTAAAAATATAATGTCCTAAGGTAGTGAAGTAGTATATATATATATTGATCTCCATACTGTGAAACTCACTGAAGTTGTATTTACTGATGTAGAATGAAAGCTGGATTTCTGCAGTATGCACATGCCATTTATCTTCTACTTAGTTTACAGTTGTCTGTTGAGATATACTTCTGTAGAAAATCAAGAAAGTGGTAGATACATTCATTTAATGCAATCTTTTTGTATTACAACTCCTAGTTAGCATTCCAATTTGTCTAAAAGACACAGTTTCCAATTCTCGATATTGAGTTTGTGGCTTAAAACTATGTATGTAGATGCTGACCTTTCTATTTAAGGAAACATTAAATAAAAGGCTTTCATAAAAGTTAGCATGGCTTTATAGGTGAAACCTTTGTTGTACCAATCAAAGCATTTACTCAACAAGATTGAGTTCTTAAAGTTAAATACTAGTGCTGTGTGTGTTTCTTGCTACATGTTCAGAGAAAAGTCTTCAGTTTTAACAATGAAGTTCCTCTCTTTTAAAATATACTCTTTTCTTGTTTGTTATTCACTTCTGGTGTGTTATGTCAAAGCAGTTACAAGAATACCATATAATGAGTCTATTCCAGCAGTGATAGTTTTCGGAGACTCCATTGTCGATACAGGTAACAATAATGGCCTTAAAACTGTATCTAAGGTTAATTATCCGCCGTATGGACAGGATTTTATGGGAGGAAAACCAACTGGAAGGTTTTCTAATGGTAAAGTTCCTGCAGACTTGATTGGTAAGAAGAATTTGACATTCAAGCATTTTGAATATTGCCTTATCTATAATTTCATTAAAGAATATAGTCCTTAATTTTTTATCTTTATTTCAGTGGAAGAATTGGGAATAAAAGAGCTTTTACCAGCATATCTTGATCCAACTTTACAACCAGTAGACCTCATCACTGGAGTTAATTTTGCTTCGGGTGGTGCTGGATATGATCCTCTGACATCTGAACTCGCGGTATATTTCTTTCCTTTGTTCAGTTTTGTGCTTTAACCGCAAAAAAAATTATATATATTTCTGAAAACTTCCTGAGCCGAGGGTCTACCGGAAATAGCCTATCTGCCTTCTTAAAGGTAGGCGTAAGGTCTGCGTACGCTCTACCCTTCCCAGACTCCACGTGTGGGACTTCACTGAGTATGTTATTGTTGTTGTTCTGAAAACTTTTATGTATTAATGCAGAAAGTTATTTCATTGTCCCGTCAGTTGGAAATGTTCAAAGAGTACATACTAAAGCTAAGAGAAATAGTTGGAGAGGATAGGAAGAATGAGATCTTGGCCAACAGTCTATTCATATTGGTTACAGGAACCAATGACATTATCAACACATACTTTAGTACGCCTCTTCGGAAATCCTTCTATGATGTTTCAACATATACCGATCTTTTGCTCAACTCTGCTTCTAGTTTTGTACAGGTAATATAACATTTCAACTCAATATGAATTCATGCGACTATCCAAGACTAAATATAAGATGTGGTTCATACCTCTGAAGGATTTATATGGGCTAGGGGCACGTCGGATTGGTGTTTTTGGCATACCACCAATCGGATGCTTGCCATCTCAAAGAACATTGAGAGGAGGAGAAGAAAGGGAATGTGTTGATTATTTGAACCAAGCGGCACAATTGTTCAACAGCAAGCTGGCAGCTGAATTGCGCTCTCTGGGAAACAAACTTCCTGATTCAAGAATGGTGTATGTAGATGTATACGATCTTCCACTTGATGTCATCTACAACCCTCAAAAATATGGTAAAAATATTTCTGCCTTTTTTCTTGAATAGTTAGAATGGACAGATCTCCATTTCTTATCTTTATATGATTGTGCAGGATTCAAGATTTCAGACAAGGGATGCTGTGGGACGGGGAAAATAGAAGTCGCAGAGTTATGCACATTTACATGTTCCAGTGATTCTGATTATGTTTTTTGGGATAGCTTTCATCTTACAGAAAAAGCATACAGACAATTAGTTCATCAAATTCTTGCCCAACATTTAAGTAGCTTCTTCTGATAGATTCACATGCCAACATGCATGTGTGGATACTCTCATAGAAACATTTATTTTTGTTGTATACTGCAAGGAGAAGAAGAATACCAGCCCACCCTATGTACTATCCTACTCATTTGGTTTTCGCCTTTGGGACAATTATACATGATTTATAGCACATGGATTGTAATACAGTTAATATAATCAAGGAATTTTTAGTATTTGTTGCCCCAATGATTGGTCAATATGTGTGTCACCTGATCATTGTTTCTTCTTTTCTAGCTTAAGCATGTGCATGATGTGGTAGTAACATAGTTGTATTCATGGACTATAGCAGTACATACAAACTTGCTAAACTACTTTGAGCGATCCGCAGATCATGAAATATCATCAGGAACTGTTTTTGAGATTAGTTATCAACTAAGCATCGTAAGTAAGTTGCTCCCCGTTGTTCAATTATTTGACATCCAGAGTTATTCTTTGATAAATGATCACTATGAGGCAGAGTCAATAGAGTTTTATCAAAGTTTTTTCTTTAATGTGTCATATCCGATTGAGCATAGAAACTGCAAGTAGTCTGCAGGGTAAGTCTCGTTAACCAATCCTGGATTAATTGTTCCTAAAGGGCTTGCTTCTCTGGCTCCGATGTTGTATGGTGTTTGTCACGACCAGGAATTCCCACCTTCGGAACCGTGATGACGCCTAAAATTTCACTCGCTAGGCAAGCCTGCGTTAGAGTAATTCTTTTACCAATTTTAAGCACTTGGAACAATTTAACCAAATAAACATAAATGAAGCCCAAATAAAGTACGATATAGCATAATAGTCCAATATCTAGTACAATCAGGATCTGGAGTCATAAGTACACGAGCTTCTAGAGGTTCTACAAATAGAGTCTGAAATAAATACAACTGTCTCGGATGAAATGAACAGTAAATAAGGAAAGAGGAAGGGGACTTCAAGGTCTGCGGACGCCAGCACATCTACCTCGAGTCTCCAAATAAGCTGATCCGTGCTGATGCGCCTCACAGACAGCTGGGACAAGTACCAAAATCTGCACAAGAAGTGCAGAGTGTAGTATGAGTACAACCGACCCACCGGGACCATCAAAACACAGATCCGGATCCGTTTTTTCAAAAGGTTGACCGAAGTCAAGTCAAATGGATTTTTAAGGCATAAATTCACATTTTATCAATTTTTCACATAAAAGCCTTCCGGAAAAATACACGGACTGCGCACGCAGATCGAAGAAGGCTAAAAGGAGCTATTTGAGGTTTCGAAACACAGAATTATGGTTTAAAACTAAAGATGACTTATCGGATCATCAGAGTGTTTCAATGGATCCGAATATCCATAGGCTAAATTGCCACCAATCAACTGGTATACTCCTTACACTCTGTTTGGATCATTGTTCCCCGTCGTTTTATAATGTATTGTATTGTATGGTATTATATCGTATTGTTTTATGCATATAATGTTTGGATAGATTGCATTGTTTGTTATTGTTAAATTATATTTTGCTGTTTGGTTTGACTGTATCGTATTGTACTGTAACTTATAAGTTTACTAAAATACCCTCAACTGTTTAAATATTAAATTTATCAAACAATATGCATAAAAATAATTTTAAAAAATAAAACAGAAGAAGGCAAACCACCTTAAGAAAGTAGAACAAAGGAGTGAGACAGAAGAAGCCAAAACAAAGAAGCACAGCTAATTAGAATTAAGTTAAAAGCAAATTAGGAGAAAAAATAAAAGAGAAGGCGGCCTTTAACGTTGGCGGCAAAAGTTCTGGAAAAATACAAAGTAGGTTATAGGCTGGAGATTTGGAATTAAAATAGAAAGAAAAAAAAAAGGTAAAGGGTAAAATAGAATTGTGGAGTAATAAATTAGAGCATAATTAAAAAGAATATTAGGAAACAATCCCACCACACCAAATCGGTTGTTTCAAAAAAGGGTACTTTTCATTGTTCCGGAACAATAGATTTAACAATAGAATACAATACAACCAATTTTAATGAAACAATCAAAACAAACATTGTTTTGGAATAACAATACAATGGTGAACAACCATCCAAACAAGCTGTTAGATCATGAAGGGGTAGGTACAGTCAATTAATGCAATGTTTGTTATCTGTTTTATTTGAAGAACACTTATGGTGAGACTGAGCCATGTGAAATTTTAACATGTAATTTAATCTTGAAGACAGCAATATCAGTTCTGCACTCCCAGTTAGTTAACTTTGCTATAAGATACAGTATTCGCCTTTGTATAATGGGCTTTGTGATAAGAAAACATTAAATCAACTAGAAGTGCAATCATTGTTGTGCCAACCAAGCATTTACTTAGCAGGATGCCCTCATGTTTCCTGCTGAAATTGAGTTCTTGATTCTTAAAGTTAAATACTAGTGCTCCGAGAGATGCTTTCAGCTTTATCAATGGAGTTGTTCTTTTTCAAAATTTATACTTTTCTTGTATTATTCTCAAGAATTTGTTTTGCACTTGTAATGTGCAATGTCCAGGCAGTCAAAACTATACCAGCATTGATAGTTTTTGGAGACTCTATTGTTGATACCGGTAACAATAATGGCCTCAAAACAATAGGGAAGGCTAATTATCCTCCTTATGGAAAGGATTTCATAGGAGGACAACCAACTGGAAGGTTTTCTAATGGAAAAGTTCCACCAGACTTTATTGGTAAGAATAGATTGTGAGTATCGTCTTATCGACAATTACATTAAAGAATATAGTCCTTAATTTTTTATCTTTATTTCAGTGGAAGAATTGGGAATAAAAGAGCTTTTACCAGCATATCTTGATCCAACTTTACAACCAGTAGACCTCATCACTGGAGTTAATTTTGCTTCGGGTGGTGCTGGATATGATCCTCTAACATCTGAACTCGTGGTATATTTCGTTCCTTTATTAGTTCTTCTGTGTTTTTACCAAACAATTCTTTCTTGTATTTCTGAAAACATGTATATATATATATATGCAGAAAGTTATATCATTGTCCGGTCAGTTGGAAATGTTCAAAGAGTACATAGTAAAGCTTAAAGAGATAGTAGGAGAGGATAGGAAGAATGAGATCTTGACCAACAGCCTATTCATATTGGTCATAGGAAGCAATGACATTACCAACACATACTTTAATACGCCTCTTCGAAAATCCTACTATGATGTTTCATCGTATGCTGATCTTTTGGTCAACTCTGCTTCCAGTTTTGTACAGGTAATATACCATTTCAACTCAATCTGAATTGATCCGACTATTCAAGACTAAATATAAAATGTTGTTCATACCTCTGAAGGATTTATATGGGCTAGGGGCACGTCGGATTGGTGTTTTTGGCATACCACCAATCGGATGTTTGCCATCTCAAAGAACATTGAGAGGAGGAGAAGAAAGGGAATGTGTTGATTATTTGAACCAAGCGGCACAACTGTTCAACAGCAAGTTGGCAGCTGAGTTAAGCTCTCTTGGAAACAAATTTCCTGATTCACGAATGGTGTATGTAGATGTATACAATCTTCCACTTGATGTCATCTACAACCCTCAAAAATATGGTAAAAATATGTCTGCCTTTTTCTTGAATATTTAGAATGGATAGATCTCCATTTCTTATCTTTATATGATTGTGCAGGATTCAAGATTTCAGACAAAGGATGCTGTGGGACGGGGAAAATAGAAGTCGCAGAGTTATGCGCATTTACATGTTCCAGTGATTCTGATTATGTTTTTTGGGATAGCTTTCATCTTACAGAAAAAGCATACAGACTGTTAGTTCATCAATTTCTTGTCCAACATTTAAGTAGCTTCTTCTGATAGATTCACATGCCAACATTTATTTTTGTTGTATACTGCAAGGAGAAGAAGAATACCAGCCCACCCTATGTACTATCCTACTCATTTGGTTTTGGCCTTTGGGACAATTATACATGATTTATAGCACATGGATTGTAATACAGCTAAATATAATCAATCAATTCTTAGTATTCGTTGCCCAATGATCGTTGTTTATTTTTTTCTAGCTTAAGCATGTGCATGATGTGGTAGTAACATAGTTGTATTCATGGAGTATAACTGTACATACAGACTTGCTAGACTACTTTGATCGGCGATCTGCAGGCCTGGAGTGTTATCAGACACCTTAGAAGTATGTGGTTACAACGAATGGACTTTGAATTTTGTATTTACCATTTGTCCATGTAATTGATCCAAACAAGTCTCCCTTTGGTTTAGATGAAGCTTTAAAAGACACTTCATAGCTCAACTTCTTGCTATTATTTGTAAATACCAATTTATTTGGAATCACTTGGACTTCCAATCCAGTTGGCGCCTTTATAATTGCAGTATATGTTGCTTCTTCTTCTGCAACATTAGTTACCATTCTGGTTACTTCCTTGGTTTCATTTTCTTTGATATTTGAAACCGCTATGGATGGGTAATTCATTTTTGAGATTGATTCAGAACTTGAGTTGGTGGGACATGAAAAATCATCAGGAACTGTTTTTGAGATGAGTTTTATCTTTAATGTGTCATAGCCCATTGAGCATAGGAACTGCAAGTAGTCTGCAGCATATGTCTCGTAGACCAATCCAGGATTAATTGCCCTGGAAGGGCTTGCTTCTCCGGCTCCAATATCGTATGGTGTTGCAATGGATCCAGAATTTGTTGTGATTGGAGCCTTCAAATTGTTAGTCTGTATAGCTGTAGAAACAAAGCTTGACATGAGTGAGTATAAAGGACAGCTCAGTGCACTAAGCTCCTACTGTGTATGCGGTCCAGGAAAGGGCCATTACATACGCAGCCTTACCATGCATTTCAGCAAGAGACTGTTTTCACTACTTGACATGAGTCAATATACCCAAAAATGAAGAAAGTGAGTTAGATTTCTTACCTGTGGTCATAATAGCTGATTTGATTGCTGAAGGACTCCAAGAAGGATTTTGCGCCTTGACAATAGCGGCAATACCAGAAACATGAGGACAGGACATGGAAGTCCCTGAGAGTATGTTGAAAAGTGGTGGTTCCTGTCCTAAGACAGCCTCTTTTGTGTCGTTTCCAGGCCACGCCGCGAGAATGGCAACCCCTGGTGCTGTAATATCTGGCTGCAAGTACAAATCAAAATATTGTCAGATTTTTTATTGTTCTGTTTTATCATTAGACCATAACATAAGAAGAAAAAAGGGTAGTCTTTTTACTTTGAGGAGGTTATGAGTGTTGTATGCAGGACCCCTTGATGAGAAGTAAGCCACAACAGGAGCTGGTTTGTACTTGTTTTTTGAAACAGTTGGTAGAATTGATGCAACTGGATTCCTTCATAAGTTTTAAAGAATCTTTTATTCAAATGTGCATTATCCAATATTTTAGACTCAGAATAGCCAACTATTGGAAACCTAAAAGTGATTTCATTACCTTGTTGAGTTAATGTAGGAGAGGATCTCATTGCCATCTTTTTCAGTTACTACAGCCGCGGCAAAGGATTTGAATTTGGGTGCTACTGTTCTTGCATTATCATCTACTAGTATAAATCCAATGCCACCTTTGCTCTTCACTTCTTCTAGCTTATCACTAGGTGAATATCCTTCGTCGCGATTATGACAAAGAACAATTTTCCCCTTGACTTTCTTTTCATCTAAAGAATCCGGTAAACAACTCCTGAAGCACATCTGTTAGTTAGTTACATGTATATACACCATTTCAATTTCTTTGAGAAATACATCAAAATGATGTGATCCTAATGTTTTATGTTCTTCAAGTTACCTTGCATTTTTCTCAGAAACATCATTTTCTTCTGATTTGGCTAAATCGCCACTAATCAACGGGTACACTGCAGAATTTGTCAAATTACCAAAACTTATGCCCCCTCCCTGTAACTCAAATAAGATTACCAAGTAGTATTTCAGTAGATGACTTTGACAGTTTTCTCTGGCTTATAACATGCAAAAACAGAACACAGGATTAATGTTTAGCATAGTTTGTACCTTAATCAACTTGTTCCCACCTAAGACAATATCAGTTTCGAAGTCACGGTCAATTGTAGTAGCTGCAACAGTGAGAATCCAAGGAGCAACATTGACAACACTTTTCGTGCTAGGTCCATCATTTCCAGCAGAACAGACAACAAGAATTCCCTTTTCAACAGCATGAAATGCTCCAATAGCAATAGGATCATTCGAAAATTCAGGTTCAAGTCCAGATGATGAACCAAGTGATAGCGATAAAACATCAACTCCATCTGCAACGGCATCATCAAATGCTTTCATTATAGCTGATCCGCGACATCCATCACTCGTGCAAACACGATACATGGCTATCCTCGAACCGGGGGACCCACCCTTCGCAGTCCCAGCCGCTAGGCCATAATAAGATGCTCCTGAAATTGGATTCCCGGCTGCTGTAGATGCAACATGAGTTCCATGTCCATTTTGGTCCCTAACTGAACCAGAAAGTTTTCTGTCGTCCTCACCAGAGTCATCATAAAATCTTGCACCAACTAGCTTCCTAGTAGAAAATTACAATAATGACATATATAGCAAAAGATATATGTTTTTTATCAGATATATAAAAAAACATATTTCTTGCAGTCTCGGCTACTCAGTAATTTTAAAAAAGAAAACATAAATATAGTTTGCAATCTCAAACTGCAAACTATATTTACCCTTATCATGCCATATTAAAGACCGCAACTTCTAAAGGTACTTTATATCTTTTTTACTTCCTTATGTGACCAGGAGGTCACGGGTTCGAGCCGTGGAAACAACCTCTTGCAGAAATGCAGGGTAAGGCTGCGTACAATAGACCGTTCTGGTCCGGCCCTTACCCGCGTATAGCGAAAGCTTAGTGCATCGGGATGTCGTTTTTACTTCCTTAAACGTCGTGCTTAATCAAACACTGCCACATAAAATGAAATATATGACCAGGAATAGGAGGAGAAAGTTACTTGTTACATTTGGAAGAGCTGAAATCATGACTTTCCATGCAAGTTCCTCTCCACCGGGAGGGGACTGCACTCATATCATTGTCACTAAAACTCTCTGATTCAGGCCATATTCCTGAATAAGATTGTGGAAATTTTTATCAAAATAAATATCAGAATACTTAACTAGCTTGTACTATAATTTTGTACTGTAATTGGAAATTTTCTAAATGTTGTACCTGTATCCAAGATTCCGATTATGGTGTCAGCTACTTTTGGTGATGAATCAAAACCAGAGACTGGACCAGAAGTAATTTCTACATCATTTTGATATTGCAAGAAATCCCATGAACGTGTTGTGTGGAGTTTCAACACTGGATCATGGAATACTGAGATGACTCCAGGTTTTTGAGCAATAGAGTTCGCCTCAGCTTCTGATAAACGCGCCGCAAATCCTGAGAAACCATTCTTGTAGCTGTGTACAATAGCATCTTTTTTCCTAACAGAAATTAGAGATTGATGTTAGCTCATTCTTGAACTTGAGCTAAAATGAAAACTTTCTAAAACAACGTTCTCTTTGAGGTCTTTCAACCAATCGATATGACCTTGGAGAGTCGCTTTTGCTAAAACTAGAGCAGTTTCTTGAAAACTCGCTTCAGATATGATACTTTGAGTATTGAGAGATTTATTATTTCCAATAAGACGACTTGGCAATATATACTAAAAGTCTAAAAGTAATCTTAGCTTGTGGTCTTAAACATGTTACACACTAACACGAAAATAGAGTCATATAAAATGGAATAAAGAGAGTAAGTATTAATATAAGCTAACCTTCTAATTAAAGAGCTCATAAGGTCTGTTTGATGATTTTTAGCGTTCGATGCATCAGCAGCACCCATGTAAACAATATATACGCCATTGTTTTGTACTTGAGAAACTGCATTGGATTCTCTAAGAAAAGAGACAAGGAATAGATAGAGGCAGAAATATAGAACAATGTCTTTCATTTTTTGCAATCCTTTTAAGAAATCTTGATGACAACAAGTCTAATATATATATATATATATATATATAAATAGTTAAGTAATGGAATAAAGTTTGGTCTGTTAAGCTTTGTTTGGTGCATTCAAACGTGTGCGCACTGGAAAAACGTCCGTCAATCAGCTGCCACGGGTTATATATTATAGCCACCTATAGTGCGTTTAAATGCTTAATCCAAACACGCCACTAAAGATACAGTGGAGTTGTAGTGGTGGTGGCGGTAGGCCGTAGGCGGTGGCCGTCGTTGTGGTGCCGACTGGTAACTGGACTAGTCACTAGTGTGTAGTATGTAATTAATGGCCTTTATTATGTTGAAGTCATAAAGGGTAAATATATATAAGAAGTATAAGCAACAAAATAACTGAACTACCCATGCCTTTTAGATGGAAATGTTTTCCCTAACAATAATTATGCATCAATCGCAAACAAATTAGCATTCAGCTGTATGAATCTAGGCTAATCATGTTGCTCCATTACAGCCTCTCGCAGAAATGCAGGGTAAGGTTGCGTGTACAATAGACCCTTATGGTCCGGTTCTTCTCCGGACTCCGCGCATAGCGAGAGCTTAGTGCTTGACATTTTTGAAGAAGACAACATGTAAGCCGCCATAAGTTGCCGATTGAGAGACGTTTTAATATTGAGAATAAGAATAGTGAGAGAACGAAAAAGGTAAATATATAAATAATAATGTGGGCCTGTATTAGTTGTTAGGATATAAATAAGGCAAAAAAAAAAAAATAGCGACCCTATCCATATAAGGAAGCAATTCATTAAAAATTATTTTATTTTTTATATATCACAACAATCCTCACATTAAAGTTAATTGTACTTTCTATACCAAAAACTTACTTTTTAAACTTTAAAAGTTAACACATATTTTTTAATTAATACATGTATAATACATCTTTAAG